AATACATTTGCAATATCCACTCCCCACCGCCTCAGCCTATGTGGAGCTTTTGCTTATTGCTTTCTCTGTGTTTTTTTCTTTCCATTCTGAATGCTTCTCCGGAGCTGATACAGATAACTACAAGTGTGTAGTGTCCAGTATCCACACTGATGTCATCTACGATCATGACTAAAGGTAAGCTCTGGAGGTCTGGCTTGACTAGTGACTAGACCAGTTACTAACAACTAAGCTTGGAAGAATTTTGAAGTTAGACAAAATGGAGAGTCTTTGCAGGGCAAATTTGCGGAAGTAGAGTGGGGTGAAGCAAGATGAAAGAATCTACCCCCTGCTGACTTTAAACTGAGTTCTGTGTGTCTTGCCCTCTGTGTCCACTGCACAAAAAAGATGGGTTTCCAAAGGTGCAAGCATCATGCTTATTATGGGGAAGAGCCTTTGTGTTCCCTGTATTCCCTGAGAAAAAACTATATGAAGAACATGGGTATGAAATATATGCTGTGCATCACCAATGTGAATAGGAAAGACCTAGACATCCCTGCTATGCTGAGAGTGATAGGTAATCTTTGTTCTCAGGTATGTGAGGTTCTGTGTACAATGTCAATATATGTCTTTGCAACATTCATGATTCACTGGTCTTTTTAGGCACAACAGAAATCTAACATTGTACAATTCATAAACCAACCCACAATTACCAGGGCACCCATGTGCAGACACCTTTCATGAGATAGCAGATTCAGTTTGAAGCCTAGTTATTAGACATCATAATCCAAATTCTCCACTGACGTCAGTGTGGCAGGGCTGTGAGTCACTACTGAATTTGGACCAGTTTTAGTGGAAAAGGTGGGAATGATAAAACGCACCTTGGCACTGTCCTTTTAGTGGAAGTGAACTTTGCTCAAACAATGTTACAGGACTTGGGAGTGAGTGGATGGGCCTGGGCATAATGAGAACAATCTTTTTTCATCTGCATATGCTTTCTACAATCAGTCAAATATGTGCCTGCTGTTTGAAAGAAAACCAACCACATTATGTGCAGCAAACTTGCTTTAAATCAATGCTACCCACCTGCCTTACCTTTTATTGCAGTAGGACCATCTCTTGAAGATAAACTTTGCCCTAAGTACCATTTTTAAAGTATAATATTTATTTTTTTTGATAGAGCCCTTAGCAGGGCTTGGGCACGGGCTATTTGGTAGTGTGGTAGATTACCTTACTTAAGCCAAATAGTGATCCTGTGCCAGGCACTGCAGTACTCTTTACAGATAACGCAAGAAGATGTCAGTCCTCCTTCAGCTTGCCAAATGGTTCCAGGTATGCTTGTAGATGTCATCTGCAGTTGCCTGAAACCTTTTACTTTACAATGACCTACAGTAAAGGAGAGAAGAAAAAAAAAAAAACAGAGCTAAGACAGAAGAACTAAACAGAGAAGCAGTGCGTCTGTTGGTAATCAACTGTGTAGGATTATGTGCAACTTTTACTGAACATCGTGAACTGTAGTTAGCTTTATTTCCACTGAAGTTGAAGGAATGAATTGATCTTTCTGCTACCACTCAAAAAAGAAATCAAAATTACTTCACTGACGTCCTGCTGTTTAGTGTAGGAAATCGGAGATCAGGAACTAAAAATAACAGAATGAATGTTTGTCTTTTTGGTATTTAACGGGTGGGCCCCTAACTCCTGACAGAACTGAAACCAGACAGACAGACAGCAGTGTTTGAAATCTGACTGCCAAAGAAACTGCAAAACTTCACTTAGAAGTTCAATGGGAAAAAAAAACAAAGGGGGATGGTAAGTATGAAATTATCACATCTGATGATGGATTGACCCACACTGTGAAAACTACGGGTGTTCAGTCCAGTGACTTTAAAGAACTCAATGTTGAGACTGGAAGTCTAGTGCAGAACTCTCTGCTCTTCATTGATCATAAGCAATGCAAAGTAAGCATCTTTGGGCAGTGGGTGGATCAAATGCAAGATAGCAGGGTTTGAGCTGCAAAATCCATAAAGCTAAAACACGAAAACCCAGAGCCTGTGCTGAGAAAACTGGAAGCTGCAGTCTCATTAAGTTGGTCTGTGGACAGGCAAGCAGGGGAGCATTAAGACCTCCTTTTCACACTGGAAGTAGAGTCCCAAGCCTGGAATCTCTCCTGCACAGAAGCCCATGTTATATCCTGCAAAGGCAAAGCCACTTATTTTGATTTGTAAGGTGCTTGCTGGTATGTGCCATTTTTTCTTGGCAACCCCTTCCCCTTTCCCAGGGGTTCCAATTCAGTTTGTCAGCAATCTCAAGAGCTGTGAAAAGTGAAAGTGAAAGCTCAAGTGAAAAAGAAGGGAAAAGCTTCCCTGGAGTGTGTGCTGACTTCTGAAGATGTCATCCTGAAGGGGATGAAGAATGGACGACTGAGTGAGAGGTCTCCTAAGTACACCATGAAGCATGAAGGGAAGAGGGCAGAGCTTATCATTAATGCTGCTGAGCTGACTGACTCAGGAGATCGCACGATTGTAGGCTATACAAGACAGTGACCCGAATGAGCAGTACAGCAGTGCCACTGTAACAGTGGAAGGTAAGTGTGAATGAGAGTCAAGAGAGGAAGAGGAGGAGGGACAGTAGTCTTTACACTGTTGTTCAGTGAACTCTGCAGAGGAGCAGTGCTGCTTTGCTGTAACAGCTAGGAAACAGATGTGAAATAACACTGCTCTGCAGTCTATTTATTGTTTAACATGGAATAAGCCATTAGTCTGTGCCCCCTCTTGGTAGCATGAAGGTAATAATTAAGGAATTCCCTTTGCTATATGAAGCGGCAGAAGCATAAAGCAGTAAATCTTCCGTTTAAGTCCTTGCACGTGTCACCTAAACCAACCTAGTAAAGTGTACTGTGTTTTTTATTTTAATCAGGATTGTCCTAATGAATTCTTATCCTGATTCTTTAAAGTGGCCCATGGGACATTTGACTGCAGTCTGCTGAGGACCAGTAGCACAATATGAGGGTGGTAAATATTTAATATCACATTCGATTTGTGAATTAATTTTGCAGTAGCATTATTGATGCTGTAAACGTAAGTCTATGATCTTTACAGGAAGACACAAGGCTGTTAAGAGCAGAAAGAAAAGTTGGAAAGCTTAGCTTCATGCTCTAGGCATAGGCTGGAGAAGAATTTCAAAGTTAGGGTGTGGATTTTAGTGACTGTTAGTATTTGAGATGACTTCTGTTAGATGTGAACCAGCTTTGAACTGTGCCCAAGTGCCTTCCATGAAAAGTACAGCATTTTAAGACCATTTTAAAATGAACTGCATGGAAGGAGGATAAAATGATGCTACTGTATCCTTCACAGGTTCAGGAACAACTGAAAATGCAGTTGGTAGGATGGTATGAAGGAAACTTCAGGGCCAAAAGAAGCTCGGCTGTGAGGTCAGACAGATTTTCTTACATGGAAGGCTGATCTGACCTAGTGCCCACCCCTGACAGGTGTCTCTGTGAGGCTGGTCTCTTCCTCATAGTCCTGCATTTTCTGTGTCAGATGATGCCCCACAAACCCTGTCCTGGTGTACAGACTTGGGTGGAGGTCATTCCAGTAGTTGCATTTTGGCCATGTATTTCTCATTTTGTTTTCCCAGATCAGGGCAGAAAGGAGCAGTTTCCCGATGGCATCCCCAACCCTGGCCTTTCCAACTGTGCAACCTGGCGAGGATTCTGTGGCCAGGGATGAGCGTGGCTGGCAGTGGGCAAGGAAGCCCTGACCCCTGGGTGGTGGCTACCAGGCCTGGTATGTGAGTGCCCTTTGTGGGCCACGGCCAGGGTGGCTTGAAGGGACAGCGTGCAGCAGGGACCTTCTCTGACCACTCCTCTGGGACAGAAACCACTTCTGTGGCACAGCTAACCTGGAAAGCCACAGCTGAGCCACCTCTGACTCCTGTGCACACTGGAATTGCAGTCTAGTGCCTTAGTTATAGACTCATCTTTCCCCGTGCGGAGTTCAGGTTCAGATACAAATAATGTGTAGGGAGTAGAGGAAGTGTTGAGCTGGTTTGACAGCTCCTTTGGACCAGCTAAGGGTCTGGAGCCATGCCAGTGATCTGGTTTCTGGCTTTTTCAAAATTTTCCTTCCCAGTCACCTGTAAAGATGCTTTCATATTTGCTAACCCATTTTCTGAGCCTGTAGACTTGCATTCTTTCCCACAAAGTTGGCTTCTCACCACCCAGCCTTCTCCCTCTCCCAGTCTCTGATTTTCAGAGTAATCAGTAAATGTATCCTTTGCATGCTAATGCACACCCTTCATTACATGCCATGTGGCTCATCTAGGCAGATGCACAGATCACTCTGTCCATGTAACACTGAATTTGTTGTGTCCGTAGATCACAGAGCATTTTACTGGAGTAGGAACTAGAAATCCTGACTGCTTAGTTGTCTTAGAGCAGGAAACTCTGATCAGAGGATTCAGGGACAGGGGTGGAGATGGTGTTTGTGGCAATGTGGGTTGTTTCCTGCCTAAATCTTCTTGTCAAATTACAGACAGGAAAAGGATCTGGGTAGTGAAGCAGGGAGCCATCCACTAACTCGTCATTGCCAGAATGGGAGAGGAGCCTGAAGGGAGGTAGATGTTCAAAACCAAGGGGGCAGAGAGTGGAGCCACAGTTGCCATTGGAGATAGCCACCCAATCGCCTTACTGCTCTTTTCCAGGTGTGCACAAACACTTGCAGAATCAGTGCTTCACCAGGCCTCCTTACCTGGGCCTGTACCATTTTACAGGCTTATCTACGTGCACGAGCAAAACCTCTTCTTTCCGTTTCTTTGTTCCCCAAGGGAGAAAATTGAACCGTCATACTGGTTGATTTTAAGTGACTAAGCATATGTTTCTGTGTTTATAAATCGGTGATCGAGAATTTTGGCCTGAGCCTTTACTTCAAACATTGTTGTCATGAGCAACAAGAAAACCACCTTTTCTGAGAGATGTGCAGAAATAGATGTGTATTACTGGGCTCCTGGCAGGCAGATGGCGCCGGATGGACTCTCAGACTCGCCCGCAGCGTGGCCGTAAGCCTCTCCGTCCGGTGAATCAAGGCAAGGTGGGTGGACTCCGCTGCCCAGACGGCGGGGCAAACGCAGCAGTGAGGGTGCTGTATCTGCAACACTGAATATTTAACATACCTGTGTTGCAGTAAAAACCCATCTGAAGCAAAGCTCTGGTAGAGGGAGGGTTGATTTTCCTGCATTCAAAAATATTTTTGACTTTCAGCAGAAGACTGATTTCTAAACATACATGTTGTGTGACAAAAATAAAAGGAAAAACACCAAATTTGTTTAGGAACCTGGTTATTTTTCTTTATTGTGTGCAGGACATCCCTATCATTTTCCCATATTACTCTGTAACAAATGAGGGGAGCATTTTCTTTACAAGCTTTGATTCTACTGTCTTTATCATGATCATAGATATATATCCCAGTGTGGCTGTAGGGGGTAACAGCACAAAGGGCTTCTTCCTGTGCCTTGCAAAACTGAGAAACTGCCTGGAATCAAATCTCCAGGCTCTAGGGAAGTGAGGAGCTTTGGGGCTTGCTGTTTCCCAGAGGTCCCTCTTTTTCTGCTGAGCTGAACAACTAAAGGAGGGCAGCCAGCTCCCTGTACAATAAACAGAACTAAATTAACTGAATCAAAATACGCTGAAGATTTTGGGTGTCCATGAAGACTTTCACAAAATACAGAATTCTTATAGTAAAAATTTGAAGGAGTCTATGAAGGGCCCAGCTTTGGACCACCTTTTCTGGGAACTCGCAGACACAGGAAAGATGTCAAGCTACATTTGCCACTGCAGCTTTCAAATGTCTTCTCTTCTTTCCAGATTCTCCTGTTGTTGAAGAATCTGTCCTTGAGCTTTTTGCTGCACACAGCGTTACTGTGAAGACTGAGCATATAGCAAGCATCAAGGTGCCTTTCAAGGCAAAGCCAATGCCCAGAGTCACACAGTTCAAAGACGGTACTGAGGTGACAGAGGAAGAGAAAGTGGTGATGGAGAAAGCCAGTGACTGCATTACTCACAATCAAAATCTGTGTGAGAGAAGACAGTGGAGCCATTATGCTGCATCTGAAAAATCACTGTGGCTCAGCTTCTGACAATCCTTACCTCAGCTTCATTGGTAGGCCCTAAATTAATCATTTTATAACAAGACAATCACTGGTAGATATGTTTGGTTACAGACACTGTAATTCAGACTTTGACTTTAAAAATCTCGCAATGGGGCAGACTCTGAGTTAGCAAATCAAGTGATTCAAGTCAGTTTAGTTTTGCTGTAATTACACTCATTTACACCTTGAGACGATATGACCCTCTAAATAATAGCACTCCGTGTCACTCTGGTCAGCTGCTCACACTGCAGACAAACCAAAACCCCTCCAGGGGAAAGCGAAGTTCCTGCAACACATGGGGAAAATGTAAAATGAGATGGAAAACACCCAAAGGCAGTGGAGGAAAGCAGGTGACTCACTTTGCCATCGAGAGGAGGATGGCAGCAGAAAAAATCGTGGCTCAAAGTAGGGCTGGTGGAGAGCAACTATACCACATTTGCTATGAAGAAGGTGGAGGAAAGGAAAGCCTGCTAATTCAGAATACATGCCATCAAGTCTGAGGGCCTCATCAGGCCCCTGGAAACAGAAGTTTTTGCTGGAGAACCTGTTAGCCAGCTGTTCTTAGTGTGGTTTCACAGTCCAGCTTCCCATCATTTTTGTCCCTTTCTCCTTGCCAGTCCCCAAAAGAACACTGTCCCCTGTGCTTCAGGGGACAAATTCCAAGGACAGAACTTAGAAGCTGCTTTGTGCTTAGGCTGATAACCAGGATCAAACAAATACCCAAGTCCTTTCACTGCAAGTATTTGTGGACTCAGAAACCCCTCGACATGGACTGGCCACAAGAGAGGACTGACTAACACACTGTTCTACTGTCAGTTACGTAAGCTTAGTGGGATACAGCAGAAATGAAAAGTGGCTTTCTCTGGAAAATATTGTGGAGGACGAGAGAAGATAATTTAAAAGGGAATGCTTAAAAACATTTTGTCTTGCGGCCAAAAAAGAAAATATGTCTGCCAAAAATTACCTTGGTTAGAAAACACTGCTGATCTATCTTCTGGGAGTTATAGTTCGGGTACCTCTTGTTCCTATTTCTCCTTTATGGACTGGTGTCCCCGATGAAAGGGGATTTGCAGTCCCCTTTCCCTAAGCCCAGAGTATATCACAGTGCAAACAGCAAGTCAGGCCTGTTGAAACATTTCAGAAAGAAAATTACCAACCTGAAGTAATATGTATCATTTTTCATCTAAAACTTTGCATTTCTGTCCAAACTTCATATGGATTAGGGAAGGCATTTCTGAGCCACTCTGTAATGCATCGCAGAAAGAGCTCATTTTCAGAATAAGTGCAAGAATTGAAATGTTTCAACATTTGAAATGACAAAGGGAAGTTGATGGCAAAGAATGAATCTTTAGAAAAAGTTTGTGTCCATGAATAAACCTAAACATGCAAGTCACCCTCCTTGACTTCTTGCTATACATACATACGTATATATTTATACACACACACATAACACATACACACAATTTGGAGTCAATGAATTCGGATTGTACTGTGCTAATTTGATTTTCTTCTGTGCAGAGCCTCTGAGACAGGTGTCTCAGCCTCAAGTTGTAGATGTCAGGAAAGAAGCTGTCACCATCACCTGAAACTCCCCAGCCCAGGATGGAGGCTCCCCTGTGCAAGGTTACGTCATAGAAAAAAGGAAGAAGGGCAGCAATCTTTATGTCCCAATCACCAAGGAACCAGTCCAAGGTCAGACCAAGATTATGTTATCTGTTTATGTAGGTGAAGGAAAGTTAGATAAGCTTTGAATGCAAAGTGGAGTATTGATTAATCAAGGAAAATTTCATCATGACATTTGGCAAGATACACATTTTGGCCTATGCTGTTCAAAGTGAGATTTTTCAGTCCTCAAATAGAAATGACTTGATACCCACAAGCAACAATGAGAGGGCAGAACACTGAGCACCTCTGAAAGTTACACCTATGGATTTGGGTGCCTAATTTCAAGCATCTATATTTTGCATTTCTCCTTACCTAAATTTGACTGCTTTTCCCTGACTTAGACCAGAACTGAATTAAACAAATGACTGATTTTGTTGTATCCATCAGATACCAACCATATGATCCATGCTTAGCACAGCTTGTATAACACATGGGAGTGTTCCTATCAGCAGCAGCATCTGACTAACGAGACTTTTGCTTTTCCTTTTCTGTTAATATTTTGGTTCTTTCTTGGATTCTTTCCTCTGTCTCATTCAAAATGTTGGGCTTTCATATTAATGAAGTTACAATCAATCACACTATCCAAAAATATCCTCCTTAAGGCACCAACATGACTCATGGTAAATAATGGAAACACTTTTTAAGGCAAATTATTAAATTCCTGAGTTTTTCTTCAAAATTGAATGAAGGTTTAACATTGCTTGAAGGCTAGATTGTGGAAGGCTTGGCCATTCTATTGAGTTCATTACATCATGGGAAATCCCATTGAAGTCAGTGGAGCAAGACACAAAGATATTTTCCCCCAGATTATACCAGCCAATAGACCATAATCTAGTGGAAAGCAAATTATGCATTTTTGCTCTTATTATCTGCATCAAAATTCCATCTCCTCCTTAGGGAGATAGAGATGAAAATGGAGCAGACCACTGGAGAAGTAAAGGTTAGACCTAGTTAAGGGGCTCCCTGAATGCCTCAAATTGATACTGTTTTCCAGCAGTCTGTAAGCTGAAGTTTCTTCTTGGTTTATCTCAGTCCAAAAGCAATAATAAAAAAAAAAAATTAGTAACCACTTGTGAACACTTTTATGGCTGATTAGAGAGTTGTATAATCGCAACTTGTCTGTCTCTAGGTACCAGATTCAAAGCGGATAGTTTTCTGGAGGATACAGAGTGAATTCCATGTGACAACTGTGAACCGTGCAGGCCCTGGACTTCTCAGCATTCCCACAACCTCTTGTTGCAAAGGGTCCCATCAGTATGTTTCTTTCACTGTTTAATGTCTAGTTTTCCTAAACATGTATGCGATGACCGGATCTATGCATTTGTGACTAAAGTCTGAGAGAATGTGGCAATTCCAGCGTGGCTCAATATAATGCACTGCATTGCGTTTATAGCTTAACTAAAGTTTAAGGAAGGCCTTAATACTGTTGCCTATAAATGTAATTATATTATAAGTTCCTGAAAGTGTGATATTATTCACTTAAAATGTGTAACTATTAACATAAGGACACAATAATAGATTCCCACCTGGGGGGAATTGAGTATATGCAAACAGCAGAGATCAAAGTGATAAAGGTGCTCTGAGGTGTAGATACCTTTAGTACTTAATATTCACACACAGGTTGCAGAAGGCCCTAATGTATGACAAAGAAAATAATTTCTCATGCATGTTACTATGCTCCTTTCATCAGTCCCCCATCAACCCTTTTAAAAGAAGAGGAGACTCTTGCAGAATTTATGAAAGTTGCTTACATTATTTTATTTTAATACTGGATTTTTATTAGTAAAGAATCTGTGCCTCATTCTGGACTTATCAAAAACACATATAAACTTCAAAAGATTACAGTAGTCTCAGAAATGCTGAAATGGGCAGATTTTATTTTGTGCCAGTTATAGAGAATTCTTACTCTATATGACCATATAACTAAAGCATTTTAAAAACAAAAGGCTGACAGAGGGCACCTATAAATAGCTTAAACTATTGATGGAATCTTGTAATAGATACAGGAGTTGGCCTTAGTAGCTGCACATAATTCAGAAAAAAACCCTGGCCAAGTGTGGAAGCCAGTATAGCTAAAAAAATGAGAGAATTCTATGTAGTAGATGAGAGCCTTGAGGTTAAATAGTTACTCAGATGGGAAAGCATTCAGGTTCCTTTACATCAGAAGACGCCACAAAAACAATTTAAAGCCTGAAGCTATGATTCTTCTCCTATTTGAAGACTTGCATTATCTCACATTAGGCCTAGGAGAATATGTACTGTCCATATGCACCGTATTCCTTATGACCCTGTGTGCTTATATGAGTGTTCTGTACAAAAGCCATTAGCATCAAGTTTGTCATGGCATGCCGCACTGGTTGACTTTTTTGGTTTGGGGCAGAGGAGGAGGGTTGTTGCATTTTAGCTGAGACTTTCAGAGCAGAACATGGATTTGGATACACAACTTCCTATTCATTTGGTTAAAAACATACAGATATTTTTTAATACTCCATCTTTTGCTCCTCTTACATATTATGGAGATTTAACTAGGCTGCTGGAAGGTGGACTAAAGAGCAAAAAGCAAGATCTGTATTTTCAAAAATTACTATTAATTAGGGGTACTGTAATCTTTGGCAAGTAAACTTGAAGAACATTTATAGGATCTTGCAAACCAGTAAGCAAATTCACCAATACAAGCAGTCCAGATAGCACCTGACCACTTTACACAAGACTGTAAGAGGGATTTATTAAACAAGAGACAAAAGGCACTCAGAGCCATACAAGACAGGTTATAGGAGATCTACTGCAGAGCTCATCAGTCAGCTAGGAAGAGACAGAAGCAGACTTTAATGCTGGACCCCTCTCCCAAGCACATGTGGAGAACGAGTGGTGGTCAGTTTGAAGGTTTCTTCTTCCAGGCTCCAGGTGTGATTCAACAGACTGAAGAATGGCTTTACTTTTCTGTGCAATATCTCACTCCTTTTATGTTTTTAATTTCTTTCTTTGCCTGTTTTTCTTTTATCCCCGCACCCCCCCCGCCCCTAGGTTTGATCTGACTGTGAGGCTGAAGAGCCACATGGTGGTTTGTGCTGGGACAACACCATGCGTTCATACATCTTTCCCTGTGAGATTCTGTGTTGTGTCCTGCCAGAGGAGAAATCCTGCAATTAGAGTTTTCTTGGGCATCTGGTGAAATACAGCTGCAAGGTTATGGAGGCTGTAGTTGTCCTTTGGCCTTTATCACATGAGCTGTCGCTTTGGTTTAAAAGAAGTTGACTGTTGGAGAAAACTCATGCAGTGCTTTAGGCTCATGAAGCCCTGTATAACTATTCACTATTTTATGGCTAAAATTTTTTTACTGTGGTGGTAAGGGTAGAGGGACTTCTGTGCACACCAGTTGGTCAGCTACACAATCCAGCCCTCTGTGGCTGGAGCAACAGTGTTCAGCAAACCATGAAACATTGGGGAACCTCTGTGATTCATCACAAGAAGCAGAATTTTTTGAGCATGCAACTACAGTTCATGCTAACTGAAGTGAAATCATTCTTGATTGACCTAGGGGAGTCACTGGGTTGTAAAGACAACACTTGAGGTCCCAACACTGTCCTTTCTGAGATACAATTTCTGTTAACATGGATGTTGAGCTTGTTTCTGTAGAGGCTAAGGGCAATTTCTGTGCTTTCCTTTTTTTTTGAGCCTAGACTACTGGCCCCAGTGTAAGAATGTATCTCTTGGTCTTAATTGTACAAGTTTATCTGTATCAGACCAGCTGTTTTTCCTCAGCTTTCAAGATGATGAAACTAATGAACTGTAGCATAAGGTTTATGTGGCATCTCCCAAGCCAAGCCAGCTCTGTGCTCTTTGCTGGGGACAAAGCCTGCTGTTGCCTTTACAGCTTGAAGAAATCTCTAGGATTGTTGTCCTTGAAACATTTTTCTGTCAGGCTGATCATGTACAAGTGGCTCCTGTGGACACAGATATCCCTTTTGTGCCCAAAGATATGGTTTGTTTCTGTTGCCACCCAAGTCAGGAAGCAGAATGTTATAGCTGTATGTTTGTCTTGGCCAGGGCTCCCAATCACCACCAGTGATGTGGCAAAAAGAAGGCGTAAGAGGGAGGACAAGAACCATTCCCAGTCCTTATCCACAGCGCCAAGCGATTTGTTTCTGACCTGTAACAGGTTATCGTCAAGAATAGTTACGGAGAAGCCCTCTGCGACATTCAAATGCAAGTTGCAGGTACAGTATAGAGTGAATTTGAGCATCTCAGTTATCTCTGGTTATCAACAGGAGGTATTCCTCTGCTGACAGAAATTTCACACAATTTCTGCATCAATACTAGAGTTGGGAAGGTTGGGTTTTTTCTTGAAAAAAAAAATACTGACAATCCAAATCATACAGGCCCCTTATCCAAAAAAATGCGATCCAAAATGTTGTTTCCAGTCAAAGGGAGAAAGACTGCCTAGTCAGAAAGGATTTTCCTACCTCTTGTCACTGTGTTTCCTAAGTCTCACCTTCACGCTAGCTAACAGCCCGAGCCAGTTAGCTGAGCCATGCAGGGGAGCAGCATGGTTCAGAGCTGAGGGATAAGGAAAGTACTGCTGGGGCTTTGCTCGCTCTGTCCGATGTGGAGGGAAAAGGTGAAGCAGTTATTGCTCCAGATGTCCCCAAATGCTGCCTTGTTTTTCATGCCATTATTTGATAGAGCAAATCCCCATAACAGCACTAACACAACAGCGTCTGTCCCATCAGCAGTCTGGTGACATCATTTCCATTGCAAGTGGGTCTGACAGCCAAGTGGAGGCAGGCTGCCTTGCTCCTTAGAGAGACTCCTATTACTATAGTGATCTGCTGGGGGTTAGGGACCTTTGCGGTGTATTTTGTAGTTCTCATCTCTTCAGAGAGTGCTTTTTAAAACTAAAACAGCCTTATTTTTTCAGCAGAAAGGAATTACATGCATAGGGCAGACTGGTCCTCAAGTTGCTCAGGGTAGAAGTAGTCAAGGAAAGAAGTACTTTCCTAGGCACACGGGAACTTTGGAAGGGAGGAGCTGAAGTGAAAAGTTTTTGCCCCAGAAAAGGACAGAGGGAGGGTCCCAAAAAGAAGAAACCAATACTTAAATATACTCATTAATTCTTAGCTCTCCCCTGACCACCCACTAATCTGCAGCTGGTTGAAGAAGTCCCAGACACGGTGGCCCTAAATCATAGCTCAGACATAGAAGATGACTAGCAGACCGATTATGGTGTCCTGAAATGTGATGTCAGTACCGCCACGTGGTTCACAGCCGCAGGGAAGGTCTACAGCAATAAGTACACCATCACAGGCCTGCTTCCAGGGAGGAAACACTTCTTCTGAGTCGTTGTCTGCAGTGGTACATCTCCAAAGACAGAGGTAAGGATAAAAATTCATGACAGCACTTGGAGGAAGTTGCCTGCTGCTGTACACCGGTGTGGACTAAGGCTCCCTCTGTGGCCTTGGGTATATCACTAACCTGTTCAGCACCTCAGGTTCCCCCCGGGGAACAGACACAAGAATACCTCCTGTCCTGTCCCGTCCATTTGTTGGCAATCTCTTCAGGACCAGGCTTCCTTTTACTACATGTATGTGTAGCACATTACATAGCAGTTCATACAGATGCTGTTTAAATTAAAATTCAAGGCAGTAGGGGCCATCCATGTGCAGGGAGGGTGATATTATCATGTCTTGACATAACAGAAGATTGGCATTGCAAGTCATTTGTTTTGTAGCATATTTCCCATATTTCCATATGGATTTTGTTTCCTAAATGAAAAGCAAACAAATCTGTCACATGTAGGAGACATTAAATTAAACACTCAGAGGTCATCCCATGAGGTAAACGCCTTCTCCTTTGTTCAGTCACTCCCTGCTCAGGCCTAATCAGTAATAAGGATGTCTCAGTAGCAGCACTGCCAAACAAAACTGAATATGCCCCAGCTCATCAAATCAAAATGGTAAGTGATCCTTCTGCCCAGTCTGGGGCAAAACAGAATGCAGTTACTCTGAATAGCGAGATACACGCTAATTTTTTTTGCTTGGCCTGTGCCTGTTGTAATAAGCAATATAGTAATATAAAACAAACTATATGTTAATACATATTACCAGACTATGCACGTATTTCTTCAGAAGCCTATCCAAATATTGCTACAAGTCTTCTAATCCCATTAAGAGTAA